TTGAAAAATTGACAAGAATACACTTACAATATTAGAGCTTTATCTTTTCTTGATTAAGAATGGATTATTCCTTTTTCTTGATAAGACACAAGTGTATTAGAAGTTGTGGATTACTATCTTCTAAATTAATATTATTCTTAATATTTTCTTTGTTCTCAAGTCCTTTCTTTTGCTTGTCTTGAGTGATATTAGATTTTTTTTTCTAAGTATTATTATATGAGAGCTTCTTGAAATAAAGAATGCAATGGCACAAATATAAGAACAATTGAGAGAGTTGATGCTTGCGATGTATCAACTCAATTTATTGCTACCCAAAAATAACAAAAATAGCAAGAAAGAAGATATGGACATAATTGGAGTCGCTTTAATATCTACACCAAATTACATCCCTTCTCCTATATTAGAACATCCTTCCAGTGTTAGAGAATCTAAAGTTGCCTTGTGCAAGAAGTTTGATGGCATAAGATCTAAATTTTTAGGATTTATTAATCAAGTGTAACTTATGATTGAACTTCAACTTCAAAGTTATCTAATGCAAGGATTACAAGTTAAATTCATTAGTACAATTCTTTCAGATTTGATATTATCATGGTTTTTATCTTTTTTTGAATGACAAGATGCAATATTAGATAATTTATAGGTTTTTTTTATAGATTTTTTTATCTATGTATGGAGAACATGATGTAATTCATATTTCTACTAATAAGATTTGTATCTTGCGACAAGGCAATTGATTAGTGACATCATATGCTTCACAATTTTGATAACTATTGATTGATGTCAAGTAGTATGATGCTACCTTTATCAACCAATTTTTCTACCAATTATAATATGAAGTAAAGAAATTGATGTTCAACTTATCTCATTCTTAAATATTGAGTCAAATAATTGATTTTACTATGAAGTGTGATAATTGAATTTTTGAGTTTCAATCAAAGAATCATGCAAGAAAACCTCCACGTTATTATAATTCAATGGCATCACGAATGACTTTTTAATCTAAACATTTGGAAATAGAAGACATGCAAATTGATGTGATATGTTTTAAACCTCCTACTAAACAAAAAAAGACTTATTATCATGAAGAAGTCTGTGTATATATTATAGAAAGCTAAGCACACTATTCAACATTGTCCAAAGAAACGACACAACTACAAAATGAGGAGTACAATTTTCAAAGATGAAAAAATGTCAAAAAACAAATTTGACTAGGTATAATAGGAACTATACAACTGGAATCTTGTACAAATGAAGGTCCAATCTTCTCCTTAGAACTCTCTCCTTGTTTTAGAATAGATGTACATTTAGGGCCTAATAATTACAAAGCTTTTATCTTAATAGATTTAGGAGCCTTAGCTTGTTTCTTAGATAAAAAATTTGTTAAAAGCCATATAATACCATTAGTACAAAAAACTAAACCCATACATGTAGAAGTCATAGATGGTTGTCTATTATCTTCTAGAGATATTATTCATAAAATATTTTTTATCAACATAGCAATAAATAGTCATAATAATTGCATAATTTTTAATATAATTAGGTTTCTCTCTATTTCATCTATTTTAAGTTTATTATGGCTAAAAAGTTATAATCTTTTGATAGATTAGCTTTCTTATAAACTTTACTTTTCTTAAAGTATAATTAAGAGTTTTGTGGAAAGCTATGAGTTTAGTATAGGAAAATCCATATTCATAGGTACAAAAGCTTTTTTTATATTACAAAAGAAAGATCACTTTTTTTTATTTATGCTACACCCATTTTTAATGATGGAAGGACTTTAAGTGGCATTCCAAGTCAATATCAAGATTTTTAAGATATTTTTGAGAAGAAAAATGTAGATATTCTCTTGGTGCATCATCTATAAGATTGCTCAATTGACCTTAAAAAAGAAAGTCAACCATCATTTGCTCCAATCTATAGTTTATTACAAAATGAATTAGTTGAACTCAAGAAGTACATTGACAAGAACTTCGCCAAGAATTTCATATACCATTTGAAATCTCTTGCTTGAGCTCCTATCTTATTTGTGAAGAAAAAAGATGGATCACTACAAATATGCATAGATTATTAAGAATTCAACAAGATTACCATCAAGAATAGCTACCTTTTACTCTTGATATCTAAACTTCTTGATTAACTAAATCAAGCTAAGATCTATACAAAAATAGATCTATGATGAGTATACAACTTCGTCTACATTAAAAAAGGAGATGAATAGAAGACTACATTTTGAACAAGGTATAGATACTTTGAATATAATGTCATGCTTTTTGGACTCACAAATGCACCAATTGCTTTTCAACATCTTATGAATGATGTTTTTTGTGAATTTCTAGATGATTTTATTGTCTATTACTTAGATGAAATTTTAATCTATTTTAAGAATAAAGAAGAACATGAAATTCATATTCGTTGTGTATTACAAAATATAGAGATGCAAGATTGTATGCCAAGTTAGAAAAGTAAGTATTCTATATTACTCAAGTTGATTTCTTAGGATATATGATTTCTAACAAAGAACTTATGATAGATCTGAATAAAGTTCAATCTATTATAGATTAGAAGATTCAAAGAAGAGTAAGAAATATGCAATATTTTTTAGCTTTTTTTAAGAACAATAAAAGGTCCATGCAAATGCCTATCAAAAGGAACAACCACAATTTAATGTAGGTGACAACGTATGGTTACTTCATTGTAATATCAAGACTACTTATCTTTGTCATAAGTTGGATTATTGAAAGCTTTGAAATTTTCTTATTTGTAGAAAAATCCATCTAATTGCTTATCAATTACATCTACTAGAGTCAATAAAGATCCATCCTATCTTCCATGTGTCTCTTCTTGAATCATACAAGACTCTAAACATACTAAAAAGAAGACAAGTCTCACCTTCTCCTATAGAAGTAGATAATAATGAAGAATTTGAAGTAGAAGAAGTTCTAGATTGAAGGCGAAGCCAAAATAAGTTGAAATATCTTGTCCATTGGCACAAATATGATATTAATGAATGCACATGGGAGTCAGCAAAAAAACTTACAAATGCAACATAGAGGGTCAAAGCTTTTCATCAATGACAGCCATCAAAATGAAAATAAAGGATAGCAAACTTTTGTTATAAAAAAAATACAACTCAAGGAAAATTACATAATGTTACGAATATATATTTATTATAATTATTATTTAAGTAATTTGAATATGTAGAAGTAGATAAAAGTAAATTAATTTCATAATATCTACGAAGCTTTTTAGATGTTGTTTTGACTTTACATGTATTTGTAGTTGATTGGTAGATTAGAAACTTGGTCAATAAGTTATCCATGTGACAAGTTAAGATACATGTCATGCAAAGTCAACACGTTTTTAGAGGTCCTATAGAACATCACAACTTAGATTTCAAGTAGATAGTATATATAGAAGCAACAGTGAAGCCTTCTTCACTCTTATCAACTCTTTTCTTGCTTCTAGTCTAGGTTTAAGAGTCTCTAATTTCTTTGTCTTTTAGCAATATCTATTATAGTTTCTTTTTAATATACATACTTCTTTAATTTTATTTTGTCACTTTTGTTTTGACATAGATTTCTCAAGTTTTTGCATCTTCTTTTAGTTCATGTCTTTGACAAAAACACTCTTTTTAGAAATCTCAACCATACATAAACTCGAATTGTCTTATTACTTTTATAATTAGGCAATTTTGATTTCTCTTTGCAAGCCCTAATTCTAGTTAGTGAGCTTTGGCAAGCTGTAACTTCTAATCTAACCATCCACTGAGTGCAAAATTTTGCATACAAATGCCACTATAAGTCTTCTATATGCTAAATAAAAATTTAGTCCAATCAAACTTACAAATTGTAAAAAAAAAGTCCAAAAATTGCATTGATGTTACTTAACCACCAACTTGAAAGTTGATATAGATGTTCCAATAGCAATTTCTCCTTCTTCAACTATTAACTTCAATTCAAAATCGATATGTAGCTTGATCTTAAAGTCTTCTACGACCATGCCAAATTTCACTATGATTCAATTAGTAGATCTTTAGATATCATAGACACCCTATCCAACCTCAAACTGCCAACTTATAATATCCTCTTGTATCAAAATCCAAATATCTCCCAATTGCATTATTAGATTAATACAAAATTTTACAAACACTTATCACATCCAATCAAACAAACATTGTCAAATTTTGAACTATAGATGTAATACCAATTGCACAAACTAATCAAGAATGCTAGCCCTAATTGTATTGCATAAATTCCAAGTTATTGATACAAATCCTAGCTTTGAACAACAATTGCAAAATCATTCCAAAATCCTACAAAAACAAACCTTACATCTCTGAAATAAGCTTAAAGCTAGCTCATGAATCCCAATTGCCAATCTTCAAATTAATCTCTAATTTGCCCTAGGCGGCCGTTTCAATGGCTAGAGGTTTAGTTTCGATCCTATTCTACAAATAATCAACCCCTAAGTATCAATCCAACCTATCTTAGGGATTTTTTAGTCCAACCCTATCATCAACTTAATCCTAGTATCAACTATACTAATTATTTACTTCTTCTATTTTATTTTTTTTATCAACTTATGGCCTTTTTATGGCAATAAAAAAAATTCAACACTCTAGAAGGTAAAATTATTAATCAACTTTTAATCTATTAGCTACTAAAAACAAGAAAATAAACTAAGAGGCTTTTATAAAAGCCATGTTTATCTAACCAATTTTGATCCAAAAGATTTTAGTTATATCCATGACTTGGTAATTAATTAAGCACTCAAGATCAAGAAAATTGAATCTACAAATAACCTTGTTGATCTCCTCACCAAAGCTCTCCTTATGTGTAACCATCACCAACTTACTTGTGGCATTGGCATGCAACAACTAGCTTTTCTTAAGCAAGAAAGTTAATGAACTCTTTAAATAATTAAGAAAAATGATGTACTCTTTTTCCTTCATCTATGGTTTTTTCCCTTGAATACAATAAGGTTTTTAAAGAAGAGGTGTATTTCTCAACAAGGATTAATCAATTAACAAAAAATAAATAGTCCAACTCTTGAATAATCCCAATTACATGAATGAAGAAAAACTATGAGAAAGGGAACAGCTATGGTATAAATAGAACAAGCCTGACATATGAGGTGTCATTACACGTCGTACCCTGCAGTACAGATTCTGCTCAGCGATAACTCTACCTCAACACATTCACCGACAAGCCCACACCGAAAAGAACAAAGAACGTTTACACTCCCTCCTATGCCTCAAAGTTGCCTGTCTCTATGCTCTCAGCTCGACCATAAACAATTTCTATCTCAATGATAAGTAGGCGTTAAACCTGGTGTTTTTCTCCTGTGTAAGCCTAGCCTAATACAAGCCCTACTACGAAATCCTTAAAAAGGATAGGTTGTTATTCAGATGCCGACCCTGCTGTTGATGACAGTTTCGAGCGAACTGCATGAACAAGCAGCTTTGCGTCGTGCACTTTTTGCATGGGCTTTCGGTAAACACTCTGCAAACAAGACAGAAAGACACTTCAGCCACAGTTGCAAGCCTTGTCTGTGAAGATTCTTTCCATTTATTTCACTTAAGAAAGCTAATCGAAACATAGGTATTGGCATAAGTAGAGTAAGTGATTTACCTCGGACTTCCATAATCCGTCGCCTTTGCACCTCGGAATAATGTGGAAATGTGTCTGTGAGGACATAAAAATAACATCAAATAGAGGTCAAACCAAAAACAACCACAGAAAGAAGCCAATATGGAGTGTGCTTAGCAAAGATATGAAAATCTAGAAAGCACTATTAATCTTATGAAACCTGGACAGTCGAGCCACTATGCTCAAACATATGCGCAGCGACCTAAAATTTAGCATGAGGCTGACAAACATTCTTCTGAGCATTATGACACTATTTCCCAGCCTACGATAGAGTGAAAGAGGCACAGTAGAGGTCTGTACATGCATAATAACTTGACCAGCTGCAGCGCCACTATTAACCAACATGTTGAACGAATCTGCAAGTCAGCGCGCCAACAGACATATATGAGCCAACGCATGCTAAATCTGTAATCGAATAAAACTAAAGTTTCGGTGAGTAGCAGAATACTTTTGCAGCTGCATTAATGTGGTGCCATAACCTTGGGCACAGTTGCAAACATGGAAACTACATCTGACAGCCACAACAAAACGACGACATTTGCATGCAGAATTGCAACAGATCCATTAGTCAGAGAGACGCCCAAGGATAAATACATTACCACACCGGGTCGCTGCAAGAAGAGCACTACTAATTAACGGGACGGCTGCGCACATCGCAGCTGCAACCTGTACAAACATGAGCCACTTCTGATAAGATGCTGAAAGTACTTAGAATTCAAAATAATATCGAGGCTTAATAGAGACCTGGAACAGAAGACTCATCACATAGCTCAAAATTTTGGTATCATTTTATCAAAAGTCAGAAGAGCAATAGACTTTACGCGTCACAAAGAGCTCTAACCTGCGGAGGCGTAGCTTCCAAGCAAGGAAAATGTGATTTCGGAATTATCAGCGAGTGTCTGTGACAACACCCATCGAAATAGGCGAATTAGGAAATCAGCTTACAACTGTCAAATTCATCGAAATAAATTACATAGAACTTAACATGGTTCAAAGAAGATAGTTGCAGGGACTAACCCACGGGAGAGTGGATTGATATCAAGAACGCAGAGGCACAGCTCATCCTCATAAAGCTGAACACACCAAAATATACGTCAGGAGTTAGACGTTGCTTGCGTGAGAGAGGAAAACAAAAACCAAAAACAAACCCTAAATTCAACTGTGCTTACATTGATTAAAAACCATCGACGACAAGGCTGATAGGCCATGGACGGCTGATCCTATGTGTACCTTAAAACACGGCGAAGTGCCATCAACAATATCACAAAATTCGCACGATGCCACTCGCAAGGGAAGTAAGTGATCCATATACTTGCTCTGCTTGTCTATCCTAAGATTCAACAACGGTTGTCTTTGGGAAGTGGACACGGCACTTGCACTTGTGATTCCTGAACGAAGCCGCTCTACACTCTCACCAGCTGAAATGCCACACTCGCTGTCGCCATTTTCAAGTGCTCCATCTTCTCCTGGTATTTTCATATTTCTCGGCTCTGCCTTGATGCCGTCTAAATTGCCTGGTGTTGGCTTTGCTTGTGGGTCGACGTCATTAATAATCTCTACTCCTTCAGTTTTCAGTTTTGAATCTTCATGTACTTCGACCCCATCCCGGGATATGTGTTCACTACTGCATGGCGCTACCCCTAGCTTAGATTCGTTCAATGGATTTACTTCGTATTTTCCTGGTGTATAAAGTCTCCGTAACCGTGACAGTAATAAGTTTTCGAGTAGTTTAGCTTCCCTATTCGTATTTGGACCTCTACATTCAATGTCGAAGAGCTTTTCACATTGAACAATTCCCTCTCGACACAGACTACAGTTCTCTATAACTTTAAGGTTGCCAGAGCTGCCACTAAATTCTTCTACGCTACCTAATCCTCGATTGCATGACGTTGAACACAAACCCGAACATCTAGATGGTTGTGTCGATTCCACAGCGTTGACGATTATCGAGGGGGATAAGTGCAACAAAATGTTCTGCAACCGTTTGTCTGCCATTGCTGCGATCTTTGTATACACATCAACTACCAAAAGGATGAAGAGAAGCGGAGCCAATTGGTTCTCTAAGTCGCGAGAGAAAATCGAGCCCTGTCAGACAGAGATGTTGGACTTGTTCCCAACCCTCATAGTCCATATAATTTGCCCATTAAACTCCAATTCACTCGTCCCGGATTGAAACTGCAGAAAAGAAGACTGCAAATTTAGAGAACCAGCTAAAATTCAAGTCAAGGATTAGCCGTAAGCTTAAGGACACACAAGGATTTTTCAAGTGTCCAACGCAAGATCACTGAGGCACAACTAGATTCTCAAAGAGACCACCACTACACATTGTGCCTGAATAAATGCCAGCAATTATTCAAAAAATTCTTGTAACCAGCATTTCTCTTGACATCACTCAGCAACTTCAATATCACAATTGCAGTGCTTTCAGACGAGAGATCACTCATGCAATGACATTCCAACCTAATATTGAGGGGTGAACCCACCTCACACCTCTAGAAACCAACAAATCCGCAATAATACGGCTTCCAAAATCTTGGAGGCGAGCTAAGAGCATGACCTACTCTCAAAAATGCTTTGAAACAAAATTCCTTACAGGATAATGATGAATCACCTTAACAAAGAATTAAGTACGTCATTGCTGCTCTGATAAAGACTTCAGCCACACAACTGTAGCTGAAACGTAAGACAAAGTTGCAAGCGGACGAATGTCACCCTCTCCGAACCTCATGAAATTTACCAATTCGAGTGGCTGAGGTACAAAGCTAAAAATAAAACCCGTCACGCGTGCGAAAGCCTCGAAAGTCACTGCTACAGCCGAAAAGTATCCCGAAGAACCTCAGAAAACTCCGACGCCTGTAGACGCCATCACAATCCAGAGTGAAGCGGCACTAACAAAGTGTAAATTGGCTCCAAATGACTGCACCGCTGAAGCCGACTGGAAATTGGAATCCTGAGCAGAGAACGAAGATCTAACCTCGCCAAATGCTCGCAAACCAATTCCCGAACCTGCGGTAACAAACAAAACAAATAACTGCCACACAATTTGCAAGCGCCTCTTGTGCAGCGGCGATCTTGTATCTTGTGGCTGGCCCTGTTTTCAAAGCCCACAGTGGATACGTCCCTGTTCTCATCCACACATCGCCGCTCCTTTCTGTTCATCCTACAGATACTCTGTTCGATTTCCAGGCGGCAATTCAGTGCAAGACCATCGTCTCGGGTACCCCGGCAAAAGTGGATGAGGATCATCCATATCACTTGACGGATTCCGTCTATCTCGTCACTCATCTGGAAAATCTTCATCTCTTTTCATGTCCTAACTCAACCCAGGTTCCTGTACTTGACGCCCCTCGCTGGGGTCTTCGATTTTAATATCCGCCCTTCGATTTCTGTGTTCACACTGTGCGGGACCGGTCGGAGGCACATATGGGAGGCATTAAAGTTGAATGACTTCATTTAAAAATATGTTGAGTTTCGGAATTTCAACGGCAGGATTAAATAGTAGAAGGTAATGGTGAAGTTTCACTAATTTTATTTATAATATTAAGCGTGGATTTTTTGAACATTACAAAATGTAAATAATACATTTTAATTAAATCTTTTTAATTTTTAAAGAAATGTATATATAAAACCATGTTGAGATTTGGATCATGTATTAGAAATACATGTATTAATGGACTTCTCTTGGAAGGGAAAAACAAATCTATAGCTATTTGGAGATTTAAAGATACATTTGGTGATTTTTTTGATGAATTCTTTTGTTTTTCTGAGAATAAATATTAGTATCATTTTCAAATTATTTAGAAAATTAAGAAAAAGAATGAAGAGATTTTAAGTGATTTTTTTTAGAAAATTTTCAGTATCAAATTTTTAATTGTGAATACTTTGCAATAAATCCAAATAATTCTGTAATCAATTAATTTCTAATGAGTTATATGGAAAACTAAAACAATTGTTTTTTACTGTAATTAATTACTTGAAAATTGGTGAAATCATTAATAGAATAAAAAAAATTACCAATTACAAGGCGTGTTATGATATTCTACAATAGAAATTATATCAGTTTCATTGTAAATTTTAAGAATTAAAAAAACTAGGATATCAGCTTAAACAAAATAAATATCTGGCATAATATTATTAAAATACCAAACAGTAAAATTTATATAAAATATGAGATTTGAAATTCAAAGTAATAAAAAGTTTTTATTTTAAAATACATTTTCCTCTGTGTTTTTATTTATTTCTAGCCAGGTTTTTACTATTTGTGAAAATATTCATACTTTGATTAATGTTTTAGTGTGCTACAAGTTCTTTAGAATTTCAATAGTGAAAAAATATTGTACAATATTTTGATGATGTTCAAAAGTATATTTATTAAGAATAACATCTAAGGTAATTAATTATAAAAATCAAAAATCACATACAAATATGGAATATAATCTTACCACAATTCATGCATCAACTATGCTGAATAATTATGAAATAAAAATAAATTCATGTAAAGCAGAAAATTAAAACTAGATTTTTTGCTTTTTTTTTGTCATTTCAATAGAAAATACATGTAAGAATATATTTTAAAACTACTACTATATTTCATAGGATTTTTACTTTTACAACATTTGGATCAATACTGATTTGATTTGGACATGATTTGTTTCAAGATTGCTGACGTAGCACACAAACTCATCAAATTCTAAGTTTTTTTGTGTTTGTTTTTTTTAATCCAAATTGCATGTGGATTGTAGTATCTTTTCTAAACTAGTTGCTACAACATTTAAGAGAGCATCATTGTTAGTGACCAAAGTTTGCCATTAAAGATCATATGAAATACTTGCAGGGGCGGATAGTACACTAAGTGTGAACAAGAAATCTCTAAGGCTCCAAGCGTAAGCATAGTAGAGAACTAGCAGATATTCTCAGTAGATTGGTCTCTAATTGCACTTAAAAAAGAATAGTTATGATACTTTATTAGGTTGAAGAGTAGATTTGATATTATCACAAAAGTGAAGGATATATTTGCTATTATCAAGAATACATGGATGTTCTTGATATTTCAACATATTTCAAGGATATATATGATATTTTTCCTAAATTGTTTTTAGATGAGACTTAGTTAATAAAAAATTAAAAAAAAACACAATATGGTAATTCTTAACTTGTACTATTATATAAGTATATAGATTTGTAGTTATTTATATTATACAAAAACTCATCTAATTTTATTTTGACTTGATAGAATAATTAACTTAATTATTTTTTATAATTTTTTTTAATATTGAGAAATATTTTAAAATACACTAATATTTTACAAGAAATATAAAATAAGATTTTAAAATCTAAGTAACTAAATTTAATAATTTTAATTATAATTTTCTAAATTATAATTTTTTTTCTTAAATTTGTAAGTACATTCTTTTTGTAGGATATTGCTAATGCCACTATAATTTTTTTGTATTACAACCACAATCCGCCATCTACTTAAAAAAAAAAAAAAAAAAAAAAAATTGATTGAAAATTGATTGAAATTTTCATAGGACTATTGTGGTAATAACAAAAATTATTAAGAAATGGGCAGCTCCTTTTACTATTATAAATTTCAATATTGTTTGTAAAAATCTAAATGTATTTGATTTAAATATTTTCTTTGAATATAAAAATTATCATGAATTTTTTCAAAAACTAATAAAACATGCATTTTATTATATTTTTATTATATTTTTATATAAAAAGAATTTTTGATATTTCAACATGTTTCATAGAAATATATGATATTTTTCCAAATTTAACATTGGCCATTCAATTCAAGTTGAATCACAAACTTTAAGTGAGATTGATACATTGTTAAATAACTAAGATTATGTGCAATATATAATCAAGTATGATATATTAAAATATATTATAAAATATCATTTAAAATCTTGAATAATTTTTGAATTAATATCACATGATAAAATTTAACAAAAAGTTAGGATTTAATATAGAAATTAGTAGTGTCACTCAAAAGCTAGCTAAGAGAGACACAAATCGTTTATATCATTAGAAATAAGACACCAAAATGATGAAGCCAGCATTCAAGTGGCAGGATAAAAAATGAAAGCATGATATAGCGAGATTCAAATTGTTAAAAGCCCTCCCTTCACAAAAACGCTGTTATATGCAATGCTAGAAACATTTTTTCTATACTCCCAAACGTTTAAAATTATTACAATTATTTTTTTAAAACTCATTTGTTTCCACACTCACAACCCACGTGAATATGGAGAGATCACACAAACAACTACCCAGTCTAGTAACCCAAACACAACTCACACATTACAGAAACTAGTGCAAAAATCTCAATGTGCAAAGATCAACACGTTGTTGGTGGACTGATACAGAACCCCAGAATTTGTACACGAAACTGGAATCGTGCATGCCCTTGCAGGATGTTAGGGGAGCACTGGTGGTCCCTTGGATTAGCTTGAGAATTCGGTCACCCATGCCAGTGACCCAGTTACTCTTTTTACCAGAATGAATCCTCCCAATCCATGTTCCCTGAAACTAGTTCAGCAACAACTGAAGCTTGAGCCAACCATTGCAGGTCTTTCTATCCAGACTCCGTTGGAAAAGTTTCAGAAATGGAGAAGAGTTGTATGGATTTGTAGCATGTGCACATCTACAAACATCCCTGCAGAGTTCTGAAGTTCAAACTTGAATATGCGACAACTAAACGGACGACCGGCATGACACTGAAGAGGTCGAATCGACCCTTTACTACGCTGAGATTGACATGTCCACGTCCAGTAACTCTGGCTGGAGAAATTGGTGGACGTAACCCTTCCTCACGGGATGCTCGTCTTGTGGTCGGTTGTATGGGGTCCAGATAGGCTCACCGACAAATAGCCTCATCGCCTGCCACCAAGATTGCAACACGGCAACCAACAATGGTTCAACAGCCAGCAAAGAATCGACGTTCAGGCGAGCCGATAATAATTTCTGATTGCTGGATTGGTCTACAGATTGGGTTATAGCTTGGGTACCATTATGTAATTGTGCTCATCCAGCGTGAAACGATGGTAGCACCCCGCAGGTAGCACTATCATGTCTCCCTTCCGCACCCAGATCCGGATCCAATGGTCTTCTGGGTCCCGGACGTCGAAGTAACCTGTAAACACAAATACAAAGCATTTGTACCTGAATGACATACATGTTGACGTTTGTACAATCCTGTTCCAATGCCAGACTTCATTAAGGCTCTCGTGCGATGATTGATATGGCTGCAGTGCAGATTGTTCTACAAAATCTGTTGTTTTGGGGAAATCGTTCCCGTGCAAAAAATCCAACCCAGTGGCATTTAGGCGAACAGACATAAATATTTCGATTACAAAAAAGTGATGAGGGAGTTTAAGCGATTAAGCGCCAAGAAAGAAAATATATGATTTGAGATACTCACCACTGCCGTCCAAGCAGTAACGGATCTCCTCGTCCATGTGGATGTGCTCCTCGTAGAAACTCTTGATTTTCGCCTCATAACTGGGAAGCATTTCAGGACACACGGTAATAACGTCCGTATAGTTGTATCCTCTATCTTTGCGGATTATGCTCAATTCAGGATCAGTTTCATGGTTATCAGCATCAAGCACCCAGTGTATCACACCGAGGGCTGCAAAAACAGAAATGACCGTAGTTCAGCAAGGCTAGTGAGCGAGAAATTGTATACCTCATAAAAACGTTACACTGGATTTCAAGAACAAACACTTCACATAAAAATCGACTTCAATGATAGCACGCTTGGATAAAATCTAACAAGTGGGAATTTGAGCCATGAATACTCTACCTACTATTCTCAAACTCTGCAAAACTGCTGACAGGCTTAGAACGCAACATCAACTCCATGCTTACAAAAACGCAAGCAAAGACGCCATATAAATATGGACTCGTCTAACAAATCCATTACAAAAGCATCCACTACCGGCAAGCTTTTCCAGAGTCACATATTCAGGTGGGTTGCGGTGGTGAGGCAGTCGTTGGTCTTCCTCTGAATCATTCATGTACCATGCTTCCAAAGGTGGTCTCTGCACCTGCATGGTGCCAATTTCCACTTCGTTAAGAAGTTTAAAGAACTACATGTGCAACGACGAAAAATGCAGGATATGGATTTCCTCCTTGACGATCAGAATTGGACACGGAAAAATCGACAGTGTCCAAGTACCGACAGCAGACACACACCCCGCCCCCCCCCATCTCTCTCCTTCGTGATTTTTAAAGGAAGAGGGGGGACTTCTGTTTGTACCATGATCGTGGTCATAGAAGTGACAAATGCAAGAGACAAAAATCCTAGTCTCTGATTGAGCAGAAAACTGCTCATCCTACAGAACCACCTAGCAAGTTTTGTATCATGCGCAGATTGCTAACTCTCGATACCAAGATCAGTCACTATTCGAGACACTCAAGAAGATACGGAGACGACGATTTGTGCATTTTTTCACACGTGAAAAACGTTAAAGTGAGATATGATCTGCTACCGATAATGGACTTAAAGTAGCAACCTGATCCGTAAAGGATCTCAAGCTCTCTCAATAAACGGAAGGATAAGAACTGGTCACGAACTCATAGAGTAGACACAGACTGTCGGGGCTTAGAAAGCATCACAACAGAAACTGAGTTGCGTACGGGATCTCTTTGAGCACGGTCAACCTCTACTCATCAACATGAACTTCATCCCATTAAACCTTAGACTCCCTGTGTACTCTCCGACAGCTGCATTCTAGAGAGTTTAAACCACCATGAAACCTGTCGGAGAACACCAGACACGCAACTTCTCTAGATCCACGACCAGCTAACTCTTTTTAGAACAAATCGAATAAAGTCTTTACTGGAGAAGACGGACCTCGATGCCCATGACGCGCACTGCAACCGATCACAGTCTGCACAGGTGTTGCAAACGCCATGCACAGCTTTCAAGTCAGAAGCTCTTCTCCACTGCAAGGACTCCCTGAACTTCCTCTCCAAACGAGCGTCAGTGCCCAACTAGGGGCACTTTCACAGCGAAACGAAGCGAGGAATCGTGCACCAAGAGGAGGAGGCCAATGCGGTGGCTGAAAGCATCGGAGCCTTGGCATGTCCGGCGTGCAGGACTGATGGAACATGAGATTATATGGGGCTTTGTAGACCAAGTAGGGTTGGGTGGGAAGGTCTCTGCCATGTATGTGGGTAAGAAGGGTGGTTTTACAAAACCTTTTCGGTTCATGCACCTGTGAGCTCTATCAATTTCAGCTCTACAGTGGGATCAGGTCGACTCCTACTATTTTCTAGTGGCTTCACATTTCCCTGTGCTTTCCTTCGACTTGCTGTGTTAAGATGTGAGCTTACGTTCAGGGTCAACTCAGCTCCCCCTATATTTAAACCCCTCCTCTTCAACTGGTTTATTCCAGAGCAAGTGATCTGATTCCTTCGATTCTTCAAGCTTTTGAGATTTGTTCCCGTTCTGGATGTGATGGTTGAATTTTTTGTGTTTTCCAAGCACGATTTTATGCAAAGTGGCTCTTCCATGATATTGTATCACTTCCGCATCTGAAATCTTACACGGGGCTCTGCAGGACACTTCCACTTAAAATCTAGAATAGAGATTTTCAACTAACAACCCGGTTCAAACACTTTTACTGATCCTGTGAAAAACAGCGTTTTCTTACAGGAGAAGGTTCAGTAGAAGATTTCTCCCCTTCAAACGAGCTGTGACCCCGGCCATCAGCATTGCGTGCAACCATCGACTTACTCACACTAATTTTGCACTGAGAATATTCTCTCCACTTGCCTTCAGCGACTTCAGCGATTGGTTACTCCGCGGCAGTACACGCCATCGGGACGATTTACCAATTCAGACGAGTATAATCATGTTGGATCAAGCGATTTGCGCTGCACTAGGATTCTACATTTGGTTACGTTGAGAACTAGAGCTCGAAAGGACAATCAGTTTCGCACAGGAATAGTACTAATTGGTGCAAAACCTCGGAATCAGTGGAACTCGGTGTAATTTTGGCTTGCAATATGTGCTTATAATTATTGGACATCAACCACTGGTGTGCACGCGCAACGAATAGAAAACCAACCACCCAAAAGAGAGTATTTTTCATTATTTACACATTTGCACACATAAGTAGTATTTCGGTTTTTTGCCTTCAGGCTTTAAGGTTACACACAGACAAATCATTGACAAACATGTAGATCTAAATATATTCTATTTTTTGTCACTAGAAGTCTGCTTTGTCCTTGACCCAGGTTTCAATATCATAAATTTCCGTGCATTAGATCCAGATTTTGCCCAGTTTTGATGTCAGATTCCTTTTGAAAATTGGCTCCACCTGTTCGATGTCCCATCCTGCGCTACTTGACAGTCTTGTGGAGAGTATCTTTTCATCGTCCTGGATTCTTCTTCCTCAAAGACGAGACGACGACGACGGCGACGACGACGGCGCGTTGACACCACGAGCAAACAATATCACAGTTGGACCGTCACCCATCTCGCCAGCAGTAAATTAGCGGTGTTGGGGAGGGGGCTCCGTCATCTGTTCATGAACTTTTGGGCTGACTGTGAGGAAGTCGGATCCACCGTCCCAGTTTAGAAATTGCTGGACCAACTTGCCACAAAGCAAGGGAGGCGTTCATTTTCTTATTTGTATTTATTTACTGTAACTGACGTAATTTGTGTGGAATGGATATGCTTACTTTTGCTTCTATTGAAGGAGTGAAAAGCTGCGTCGAATTCATGAACTTCCAATACTGTCACTTGTCTCAGTCGTCTGCGCTGCTCCTTCATCGGGTCGAACCTGCTTCCTGTTTGCAGCTTTTTTAGAATCGTTGTGGTTGATGGATAGTAAACTTGCTCATTATATTTGTGGTGTTGCTCATGTGAGAGTGATGATTGAACTCTATTTTGTGAAAGAATCTGTATTATCGACGTCCGCCTTTGCAGATAGTTCACAACAAAAATTATTTAAGAAAAAAAAAAAAAAAAAAAAAAAAAAACTAACTAATGTACGACTACTGTACCACGTTCTATTTTATAAGAGAGATTTATTTAATTTTTTATTGTTGTTTTTTTTAAGGCCTTATCGAATAGTAGCATTAAATGAAGTAAATACAATACTAATTATAGATATATATTATCTTACACTGTTTAGATTGAAAGCATGCACCAGATTTTTAAACCTTTTGTAGCTGTGCTGTTATTACTGGTATTTTATTACTGTTCCACAGTAAAAAAATGAACGTATGCTTGGCGTTCTCAAGAAGGTGAAGCGCAATAAGAATTATTGTTCATCAATGATTTGTTGCATCCAGCATGTTTGTCTTCATCTCATGGGCAGCCTCTGCTGTTTTAGTGGCTGTAGAATTGGCTTGGAACTTTGTTGAATACCCCTCTCTAAACACCTACTTGGAGGAATGAGTACATTATTGTTCACTTTTTTCATGCTCTTCTACTTTCTTTTCCTATAAGCTCCTTCTTTCTTCTAATTTTTCTGGTCTCATGGGTTTATTTAAACATTGCATGTCCATTTTAGAGTATGCATTACATGACGTTTACTATATCCAAATCATTTCTGCTCAAATTAAAACGTTCAAGCAAATTCACTCGTGTTTTCATATACACAGTACATTAAAGATATAAAGATTTATTGTGAGACACTTGCGCATGATATTCACAAAAAAGAATGAATTGTTTGAACTCTAATTAGATGCAAATGAAAACTGTCACATGTAATTCAATTATGAACTCAGTCCCTGCTGAATCGTACATAGTAAACACAATTGTCAATATAAACTGTTGAGAATGTTTAGAAAGACACAAGAGTAATAGTAAGTCATACACATACACGAGTAGTAGTAAGTCATACACACACACGAGTAGTAGTAAGTCATACACACACACGAGTAGTAGTAAGTCATATACACACAAAAATCTATTGATCTGGTTGTGTCTCGTACACAAGAAGAGAGAAGATAAGAGGATGAACAGTACTTCTCTACTAGACTCTAAATACTATAGCTACAGTAATTACTATAGTCTACAGTAAATATTATGGAGAGCGTCGGCTACATTTAATGATCTCAACACTCCTCCTCGCTCATCATAATATTTACATAATATAAAATTTATATAGATTTATGATCTATACTTTTTTGTGATCTTGTAAGATCAAGAATTGTTGCCTCATTAAAACCTTATCTAGGAAAACCTTATTTTATTTAAGGACAAAACCATAGATGAAGGAAAAAGAGTACAACATCATTTTTCTTTAATTATTTAAAGAGCTTATTAACTTTCTTATTCAAGAAAAGCAAGTCGTCGCATACCAATGCCATAAGTAAGTCGACGATGATTGCTTAATGGGAGAGCTTTGGTGAAGAGATCAGCAAGGTTATTTGTAGATTTAATTTTTTTAATTATAAGTGCTTGATCAATAATCAAGTCATAAGTATAACTAAAACACTTTGGATCAATATGCTTTGTCATGTCGCCTTTAATGAAACCAACTTGCATTTGTGCAATACAAGCACTGTTATCTTCATGCAAGATAGTTGGAGAATTATCATATGAAAATCCACAGGTTGTTTGAATGAATTTATCAATTGATCGCAACCAAATACATTCTCAGGATGCTTCATGTAAGGCAATAATTTCTGCATGATTGGATGAAGTTACAGTTATTGTTTGTTTCACTGATTTCCATGATATTACAGCTCCATGTCTTAAAAATACATATCTTATTTGAGATTTAGCTGTTGCAATATCAGATTTATATCCTGCATCATAATATCCAACCAATTTTGGATCTGCAGATTTTGTGTAATATAATCCCAAGTCTCTAGTACCTTTTAAATAACGTAATAAATATTTGATGCCATTCCAATGTCGTAGTGTTGGACGTGCATTATGACTTGCAAGAACACTAACTGCAAATGCAATATTTGGTCTTGTAGATGTAGCTAAATACAAAAGTATTCCAACCGCTCCGAGGTATGGATATTGGTCTCCAAATATTTCCTCCTCCTCCTCACATGGACGGTATGGATCATGACCATCACGACCATGTCCAACCATTGGTGTGGACAATGGATAAGCATCATTCATATTAAATCTTTGCAAAATTTATCTAATATACGTTAGTTGGTAAAGAAAAATGCTACCATCTGTAATTGCATAATCTGAAGACCAATGCAGAAAGTTATTTTTTCTAGCATTTTCATCTCAAATTCACGTATAAGTAGGTTTGTAGCTATAACACATGCAGATGTAGTGTCCACTAGGTTAAGATCATCAACATATACATTGATGATCACAAAACTAGTTTTATCTCGTTTGATAAACAAACAAGGGATTAGTGGATCACTTATAAAATTATTTTTAATTAAATAATCTCGAAGACATTGATACCACATTTGTTTGGATTCTTTTAAACCATACAAGGCCTTACATAATTTAATACCACGATATTTTTCTAGAGCGGGTTGATTTAGAGTTCTTGTTTTTAAGTGTGACGGACTCAAAAATACAGACTCGAGATCTAACAAGAAGTTCAAGAAGAATTCGCAAGAACTAGATTAATGAGATGAATACAAGAACAACACCAGAGATGTGAGCTAGAGCTCCAAGAGATGTATTGTCGAGACTGAACAACTCTTTAGCCTCGATTCCAATATATACTCCTATTTAGGAAGCTTCTCAAGCAACTTCTATCAATTAGGAAGCTTCTAGAAGGTTCCAGAGACTTGCTTCTAGAAGATTTTAGAAACTTATCTCTAGAAGGTTCTAGGGACTATGTCTCTAACATCATCCCCTCTTTTAGTTTTTGAGGTCTCTAAGAAGCAATGTTGTTGTTAATCAGTACCAACGCAAGAAAATGAAGATCTGTCGCATAATGTCTACTACGAACTCCAACTATTGTTCACAAGGCAAGTGGTTTATTAGCCCTTGAAGCCAACGATAGTGGCCCACGCCTTCAACTTCTGACCAAGCATGAACTTCCGTGTCCTCATTGTGAAATTGTCCTACAAACACGCCTTTTGGCTGACCATCGTAAGCAGGCTCGAACTCAAATACAAACACCAATGATCGGTTACTCGATATCTTCTGTTGTCGTCGTGGTGTAGGC